CAACCAACACTTATCAGAAAAACAGATAAAATTGTTGATGTTGTCGCACTTGGTTTTAAATTCTAGACACGTTCCAAATAGAGGATTATTTAGGTTTAATGATCTCATTCCGGAGAGGACTCATTATCATTCATTACATTCGATGCGAGTCGAAATAGGTAATAAGATATTTTATTCCTTTAATGGATTTAGGGTTGCTTTCAGTTACTTTTCAGCAATGACACTGCATGATTTACCCCGAATAATTAATTAACCCTATTTTAGGCCTGAAAGAACGAAAGAACGCGATATGTAACTCATTAAGTTTGCTCGGTTTAAAATAATTAGGCACATAAAGGGCGATATTTTCAGACAGTTAATGAAACATTTATAAAAGAAGCTTTGTGCTGAAAATAGCAACGTGTTTACCTAATGAATAGGGATAGTTATGCCAATTTGATGCTTAGCTGGGTGAAAAGTTTCTAAATTTTCTCCTGAAACTGCCACGAGAAAATTGTGTGAAACAATAAAAGTCGTGAGTGCTCTAAATTGGGTTTCCCCCAATGAAATTCCACGAATCGAAACAAAAAATTAAAAAGGCAATTTCTCGGATTCTAGCGACCTCTCGGGGACTGCCATACGCGCTTTGCCCGTGGATGGCCTTCGGGAAATCGACGTCCTCAAAGTCCAATCCACAAAGTCGCTCAAAGTATTTCCTTCAGTTTACAACTTCAAGGTAAAATTGTGATTGTCTCGAGACAATAACTCGCAATTAATCACCCCATTTTCAGTATATAAGAGAAGCATGGTTGACCTACCCGTACCATTGTTGCGCTTTCAAATTCCCCCACACCCACAACCCCTGGGAGTACGAAAGACACAATCGGTTTGTGAAGCAGCAACGGCTGGCGTGCACCGCCAAAAACGCCGATCCCAGTTTGAGGGCCCTGTTTAGGGCTGTGCCCCCCAATGCGAGTGATTTTGAGGAGCAATGGAACGGCGATGAGATTTTCCATAATAGCACGATGAATCTGAATAATGGATCGCCGGTTACTACCGCCGTTTGTGGGGAGATATACCGGAATTATCACGAGGTTTGTAAGTTATTGCCGGTAATGCAAAAAATGGGTTTAAGAGCGGTGCCGGAGTTAATGCACGGGAAATGCACAGCCAAATGGCCGGTTTTGCCACAGGGGAGTAATTGATAATTTACAGCACCGGGCCGAAAAGTGTTTTTTTAAGTCATTTCGTTGCAAGCGTGATAAGGACACTTAAAAACAGAAAATAACAACCTAATTAAATTTCACATAAAAAACGTGCCAAATATAACTTTTTATCAGTTTGCAATACCAAAACTTGTAATTGATAAAATTACATTAAAATTTTCATTACAATCGTATCGAGTGCGTCAATTGACATGATTATTAATCGCCGATTAAAAACCAATCGTTCAAATTTTAAAATTATTAATTAAAAATTATCATTTATGAATTATTTTTGTTCATTATCCAAATTCTGGACCATAAGAAAAAAGGTTTTAATAGCTCACCATTCGACAAGGACACATTCATACAAATTCCATTTGACAAACAAAAACAGAAAATAACAGACCGATTTAGAATTTTAAAATAATAGAAAAAAATATAATCATAATACAGGGTGTCCTAGGTAAGGATTTTTGGCAATGACAAAATAGGGAAAACGTGCCAAATTTGACATTTTACAACACTGGACGGAAAAGGTTTTTCTTAATTCGCTTCGTTGAAATCAGAGGTGGCGAGTGCGTTAATTGAAAAAAATATTAATCACCGATTAACAAATGAGTTTTTAGTTAGTTTGTTTAGTCCAAATTTCAAAATTATTAATCAAAAATGGCCATTTACTTGTATCAAAGATTTTTTGCACATTGTCCATAATCTGGGCCATGAAAAAGAAAAGGTTTTCCTAATAGTTCACTGTTAGACAAGGACACATTCATGCAAATTTCATTAAACAAACAAAGACAGGACATAACAGACCAATTTCATTTTATTAAATATGGTCGAAATACAGTTTCTAGGTAAGAAAATTTCGGTAAATAAGAGAAAATTAGCATCAGATAATAGACAATGACGAAATAGGAAAAACGTGTCAAATTTGACATTTTTTGTCAGTTTATAATATSAAAATTTAACGTATTTGCCATAAAGGAATAACTGATATTTTATAGCACCGGACGGAAAAGTGTTTTTCCTAAMTCACTTCGTTGAAATCCGAGGTGGTAAGTGCGCCAATTAACGAGATTAACAGAAATTTTTAATTACAAAATCGTTTAAATTTCAAAATTATTGACTAAAAATGGCCATTTATCATAAATGATTTTTTCATCATTATCCATAAACTGGGCCATAACAAAACAAAAGTTTTCTTAAATCGTATGACAAAATAATACATAATATTTCATAGTTCACTGTTAGACAAAGATTCATTTAAACAAATTTTAATAGACAAACAAAATCAGAAAATAACAGACCAACTTCGAATTTAAAAAAAATAGTAAAAAATATAGTCAAATGCAGGGTGTCCTGGGTAATAATTTTTCGCTAAATGAGAAAAAAAAAACAAAAATAGTAGATGGCATTGGCAATGATGAAATAGCGAAAACGTGCCAAATTTATATTTTTTTGTCAAAATTTGACGTATTTGCCATAAGGGAATAATTGATATTTTCTAGCACTAGTCGGAAAAGTGGTTTTCCTAATTCACTGGAAAATTATTATTAATTATCAATTAACTTTTTAATTATAAAATTGTTCAAATTTCAAAATTATTAATAAAAAATGGTCATTTATAATCATTTTAATCTAGGTCATAAAAAAACAAAGGTTTTCTTAATAGTTCACAAGTGAACAGCTGTTAGACAAGGACACATTCATACAAATTTCATTAAAACAAACAAAAACAGAAAATAACAGACCGACATAAAATTATAATATAATGAAATAGCATATAAAAAAACAGAAAAATATTTACTCAAATGAATATAATAATGTTACAAAATTCTAAAATTGAAGGAAAATAGTTCTTTGAATTATGTAAATTTTGAAAAACCATACAAGCAGCATGCACATTTTACGGACAATCTTGTCAACTTTACGGACAAGTTTTTTTTTTTTATGGACGAAATCAGAAAAATTAATTTTTTGGCACTTTTTAATTTTGTCAAAGTACGAAACTGTCCTATTGTCTTGGTTTACCCTGTCATTGAGCAAAAATTGTTTACAACCTTGGTAAGTAAATAAATATTAGTGACTTGTTTTTAAGACTAATCGATTTTTTAATAATTTTTTTCTCTGGAGCACTGAAATGTTAAGTTCTTTTCTTCAACTGAAAAAAATAATATAAAAGCTTCAGTCAAAAACCATTTACGTCCTTTGTGCCATAAACTGCGCCTGACAAAACTTATTTATTAAAACATTTTTCGGCTATATTCGGTTCAATACTGCGAAAAGAGTAACAAAAAGTACACTTTTCCTCCCTTCTAAAGCCGTTACGTGCAAATCAATCAATTAGCCCGCGCTTGATGTTTTTTAATTAAAAATTAATGAAAAAATGATGTCGCAATAATAATTAGAGTGTACTGAAAACGCAATCATATTTTAATGTTAATAACCTTTTTGCGTCTAGAAATGTCCAATTTATTGCCTCTTAAACGTTTGTCGCGCCTTTAATCACCATTTCCTTTGTTTGATTGTGTCGTAAAAATGAGTTTTTGCATGAAACAGGTCAAGTGTGATCCGGCCCCGGACGCCTTCAACCCGTGCGAAGACCTGATGGGAAATTGGGCTTTGAGGATTCCGGTATGGTTCATATCGTTATCGGCAGTGATAGGAAATCTGTTCGTAGTAATAGTCATCTCGACGTCTCATTTTCGTCTGACAGTTTCGAAATTTCTCATGTGCAATTTAGCCGTTGCTGATTTATGCATCGGAATCCATCTGCTGCTCATCGCCGTGGTGGACGCCTGCTCCATAAGGGCCTATTTCAATTACGCCATCGATTGGCAAGAAGGTATTTATCAAAATTTTGCACCCATTAAATAATTACGCACACACTCAATTCAAACTAATCGAATTGTTTGCCTAAACTGCCATTTATAAAAATTAACCCATTATTATGACACAAAGTCAATACACGTGTTTGGGAAAATAATGACGCTGAAACCTCCTTAATTGTGTTTTACATAAAGTTTTACTCGAGACAATTGGCGGATTGTGCTGCAAAGTTGCTAACTTTGTTGAGGTAAACAAGAAAATCTTATAAATTGTCATTAAGGCAATAGAAGTGTGATCCTTCGCTTTTACTCTTCTTAATTAAGTGAATGAAAGTGGCCCAACTTTTCTTCAGCGCCCACGTTTCATCACTTAAGCCGCTTTTAAAGAATCATTTTCATGCGAGAGGTTTTGGTTCCGGCGAGAGGAAACTTGATCGGATTTGAATTTAAAAGTCAATGTTTTTAACACTGATGAGACAAGGGGCGGACACTTTTTTGAATTGTTTTTAAATTTTTCAGTCAAAATAAAATAGCTACATATTTTTTTATAAAACCAACTTAAGTTAGAATTTTAAAACCAAACAAATGACATAAACAAGAACAAAGTTGTCTCTTCTTGGAGTAAAAATCATTGTTTTTCATCAAATTTTTTAAAACTTAAACAAAACAAAACGGCAAAACACTTTTTTAGGAATATTGAGGATTTTAGGAGGAATCTTAGAGAGGCAGAATAACAAAATTTTCAGATAAAAAATTAAAAACCTGTTTCGTTACACTTCAGTCGTTTTAGAATTAGGAAATTTGTATTTGCGTGGTATTTTTCCCTTTATGATATTTCAGCAGTATTTTTTGTAAATATTTATCTTTAACGAATTTAAAAAAATGAACTACAGAATAAAGGGGGAAAATCAATATAAAAAGAGTTCATATGGAAACTAAAATTTACAAAACCACATTGATTTAAATAAACAAATTCCATCATTATTACATAGTTTTGAAATATTTCGAACTAGTCAGCGAAAGCTAACAAAATTCAAATGTGGCGAATTTTCCAATACTCTCCCAACTACAAATTTCAATTATGTCGGGTTTTGAGGCGTTTTATATTCATTATTTTTAACATTGATGAGACAAGGGGGCAACTCTTGAATTTATTCCTTTTTGGTAATTTTTGAAATGTTCTGGAAATTTGATCGGATTTGAATTTAAAAGTTGAGACGTTTAATTTTCATTTTTTTTTCAGGTTATTTTTTAAGTAAAATATTTTTTTTATAAAAGCAACTTTTATTAGAATTTTACAGACAAACAAACATAAACAAGAATTAAATTATTTTTGTTATTACCAATAAATCTTGGAGTAAAAACCATTAATTCTTTTGTTTAGTAAATTTAAATTAATAGAGGATAATTCCTCTTCTCTTTTTTCTTTTTATTTTTTTTAATTTCGTTAGACTAACAAAAACAGAAAATAACAAACCGAAAATTAAAATAAAACAAAATTTAATGAAAACACAAAGAAAAAACATCTATATTTTTTAACAAAAGAACAGTTACCACTTCACAAAATTAAGTCTTAAAAATTGTCATTGGAGGAGAATATTCCCTTATGTGACAAACTTTGAAAAACTATCCAAGCAACATCACACAACATGTGATTTACGGACTATTTTGTCAATTTTATAGACATATGAGTCTGGAAAAGTACTACTTTACGCACTGTTTCTCTTTTCTTCTCTTTATTCCCWTCTTTATTTCTCTTTTTTCGAAACAAAAWCTTATTAAAACAAAAAAAATCCAGAATAGCATTAAGTCAAACAAAATTTTCAAATGAAAAATAAAAAATCCTGTTTCATTACACTTCAATCCTTTTAAAATTAGGGAATTTGTAAACGTACATACATTCACGTCGCATTTTTCCCTTTGTAAATTTCCGACCGTATTTTTTTCCTAAATATTATCCTAAATAAGTAAGATGACATGGGGAGGGGAAGAAATCAATATAAAAAGAGTTCGGATGGAAACTGATTTCCCCAAACCACATTAATTTAAATAATCAAATTCCATCATTATTACATAGTTTTGAAATATTTTGGACTATAATAGCCAGTTTTCCAATACCCTTCCAATTACAAATTTCAACTATTTGAGGGTATTTTTAAATACCGCTTTCAACAGTCTCGTGAATTATTCCACACATATGCAGTACTCTGAAACGGGAATTTCGAATATGTGATGCAAGAAACAGACATCAAAGATGAGTATTGAATACGTAATACTCGACAAAATCAGCATTCAAAATGTTTCAAGGCATGTTATATTAATGAACACGACAAATTTAGCTTAGATAAAACCTCATTTGTTACGTAAATTAATTTGTTTGCACAATTGGCATAAAATATAATTATTTACCAACGAATAATCCGCGGTTGGTTCAATCAATACAGGGTGTCCCAGCGAGTTGAAAAAGTCCATTAGTGACCTTTAAATGGTAAAATTAAAAAAAAAATTATATAGGACATTGATAGATACTAATCTAGTGCATCACCTAAAATTATTTTCAACCGTACAGCATGTCCCAAAAATAAGTTACGATACAAACTTGAAAATAATTTTAGTCGATGGACTAGATTAGTATTCACCAATGTCCTATATACAGGATGTTCGATCCAAGTCGCCCCAACCGATGACAGCTAAACTTACCTTTTTTTTCAAAAACTAAATTTTCAAATAATACTATTCATTCCTGACTTTCGTAGTAAATGCATAAATTTTTTTTGGCACATCCGGTGTAGCCGGAAATGTTACCAAATTTAGTTTTTCAAAGGGAACACCTATGTTTTTTTACTCGAAACAATAATAATTGGCATGAAAAATACGGTAAACAACTATTTGTTACATTTTACTTTACATTATGCACTCAGAAAACAATTTAAATTTTAGAATTTCATTAGCAAATTTTGTAACGTAGGCGTCAAGGTATTCATGCAAAAAGCAATATGCTTGAATACCGTTTAATTGTTATTTTGACAAAGCCTAATTTGTGAATAAATCTTATTGAGATTTTTAATAATCGATGATAATAATTACGACGAATTAGTAGATCAGCTTGAAGAGAAAAATACCCAAATTGTTGAATATTTAGTCGAATTGAAAAACAACTGAGACGAACAGGTTCGCTTCTTAAAACTAAAAAACCTGTGGTTCTTAGGAAGAACAAGAAAATAGAAATCTGAATGTTATGTTATCAGTCGAAAAAAATCCAAGAGTTTCCATAAGAGAACTCGCTCATCAACTGACAAATTAGATTTGTCAAACCAACAATTAAACTGTATTTTTTTTATTCACACCTTTCCTTTAATATTAAAAATCAGGCTACGCGACCAATTTCCTTATAAAATTCTAAGATTTAAGATGTTTTCTGATTGCATTGTGTTACGCAAAATGTAATAAATAGTGGTTTACCGTATTTTTCATGCCAACTATTATTGTTTCGAGGAAAAAACATGGGTGTTCTATTTAAAAAACTAAATTTGGGAGCATTTCCGGAAACACCGGATGTGCTAAAAAAAATTGATACATTTATTAAGAAAACCAAGAATTAATATTATTACTTAAATATTTACTTTTGGAAAAAAAGAAGTAAGTTTAGGTTTTATCAGACTTGGACCGAACATCCTGTATATATTTTTTTAATTTTACCATTTAAGAGCATTAGGCTAATTACACACCCAACAATTTTTTTTTTAATGTGATTGATCTATTGACACGTGTATCAGGGTACATTGACATCCTAATTACGAATTTGATAAGAAAAATTCTCCATCACGTACAGATTTTAAGTTACAGGAAAATAGTTTTCTCAAATTTTATCGTGAAAATTGTTCATTTCAAATAGAAATTAATTAAATAGACGACGAAAGAAATTAATTTATTCACAATATTGAAAGATGTACTCGTATAAGATTCTGACATAAATCTGTTGTAGATGAGTTTTTTACAAAACCTGACTTTCTTTTGTAGGGTGTTTTAACTTCCCTTATCAGGAACCAGCAGTAATCCCCCATCATAGTTGGATCCCATCTCCCTTGGTACCTCTTTTCCATCGTAAATATATCCTGGTGGAACCTTTCCCCTTGCTCGTCACTAACAGCATCCAAATTTGGGGGAAAAATTTTTTAATGAGAATGGAGAAAATGAATTTTAAGTGTTTCGTTTTTCGGCGACTTTGTCGAACATAGTTGCATATGATATCTTAAAATGCCTAACTTTAAAATCTGACGTGCTGTGGAATTTTCTTTATCATTTTTGAGTTTAGAACATAGAATTGAACAAAAAATAACTGTTTTCTTTTCAGTCACAAAATGCTTGTTGGCTAGTGTTATCTCACAAATAAAGTCTGTTTTTTTTTTAAATGGAAATTACCAAGTCAAAATTTTGGTGAAAAAATTGGTAGCAGCTTGTCTCCACAGCCACAAATTTTGTTTGCTCTTTGTTTTTGCCCCTAGAAATTTTGTCAAAAAATTATGGTTGAGATGTCAAAATTTTGATTTTTATGAATCTTGTGTGCCTGTTTGCTCTTTGAAAGCGCTATAATTGAATACCTGAGGACAGACATCATTACCTAAGGTCTAAAGACAGAATTCAGTGCTAATAATTTTGACAGAAATACACCGCAAGTAAGTACAATGTTGTGGACAAAAATGAGATTCTTGCTACAAAAACTTTGAAGAAAAAGGATGTATATACAGAAAAAAGTTATTTAGCAAAAGATACAAGTAGGTATTATGATGATTGGCAATAAATTTTGTGTAATTGATTGAAATGAGCTCAGTTGATGCATTTTACAAATTCTTCTTCAGCTTTAGTTTCAAAATTGTTACTTTTTCAACTCGTTCCTCAAAAAACGATGCAGAAGACACTAATTTATTTGCGTTCTTTCCGAGGTTTTTTCTCATTCATGTTTATTTTGTATTCTTGTCCATTTCTTCCTTTATTAAAATTACCATGAATGAACTTACTAGTGATGCCAACGTTAAGACTGTTTGGCATTTCCATTTAAAAAAAAAAAACAGACTTTAGTCGAAGATTTTTCTCTCGAGTTAATTTACTCTCCCCCAAATCAGGCAACGGGTGTCGCGTCGCCGGCACTCTCACCATCTTCGGCAACGTCCTCTCCGTCTACACCCTCGCCGTGATAACAACCGAACGTTGGTACACCATCACCTGGGCCATCCATCTCAACAAACGTTTAAAACTGCGCACGGCAGTTCGCGTGATGATCGCCGGCTGGATTTGCGCCCTCTTCATGGCCTGTCTCCCCCTTCTGGGGGTGAGCAGCTACTCCAAAACGAGCATATGTCTCCCCTTGGAGAACAAGGGCAAAGCCGACACGATCTATCTCTCCACTTTGCTCGCTTTTAATGCGGTCGCTTTCGCCCTCATCTGCGTCTGCTACGGAAGCATGTACAAGTCGATCCGAGAGGGGGGACATACCGGATCGACGACTTCCGTCCGGTCGGACCTCACCGTCGCCAAAAGGATGGCTTTGCTGGTGTTTACGGATTTCGCCTGTTGGGCCCCCATCGCCTTCTTCGCTCTCACTGCACTCCTAGGTAACTTATAGCCTTCGCATTTGTTATTTCCCTCGGTGCTATGCACCTCGACTATAAAAAATCTTTTCTCGAGCTGTGACTCAGCGAGTTAGTGAAGTCCATTCTTTACTGTTAAATATTTCTACAGGTCTTAAAAACAACAGTTTAAAATATTCTACGATGCTTAGTTTTTAAGATATTGAGTAATAAAATTACGAATCATAAGGCCAAAAATCGACCAAAATCTTGACAAAAATCCAAAAAATTTTCAACTTTGAAATGGATTCATATAACGTTTTTACATTTCTAGAGGTTCAAAAGATTCAAATAAGTGCATAAAACGTTATTTGGTCAAGTTTAAAAAATTACGAATTATTCGAGTTTTTGAAGGTGAGCGGTAGTAAAATCGTAAAAATAGTCAATTTACTAAAAGTCGTAAAAACGCTTGAAATATGGTTTTCTTGACGTAAAATTACGCGCTGAACACGATGCAACAAGTTAAAATACTCTACGACGGGTGTTGACAAATTTTTACTTTTTTTATTTTGTAAATTGCGGCAAAACTGTGTCTCAACGATATAATATTTTGACGTAAACCTATGTAAAATGTTCCGGGGAATCGATTGGCGTCAATTAAACTGCAAAATTCGTAGTAGTTTTGAAGTTATAGTCGGAATTAAATTCTCGATATTTTTGA